TATATGTATATCATTCTGCTTTAGATTCTGACTTTAGCGTACTTTTAAAGAGTGCTTAAGGAAACAATATAGTTTATGAGAATATATGTGAGTGTGAACTGAATGTAATGTTTTCTGACACTTAATTGCATATTAATTACAATTGAATGAATAGGTATTATAGGTTAAATTTATATGAAATGCAATTAGCTGAACTTAGGAGGGTTTTTGACCCACTTAAGTAACACTTCAGTACATCTTTATATGTAATTTCATAAATACTTCTGTTGTTTTTTTTTGTTGTTTTTTGTTTTTTATTAATGTACTGCTGAATGTACTGACAAGCATTTATGATAAATTAAAATATACTTTAATTAATTTCTGCTGAAACTTGTATTTAAATATTGTATTTAAATACATTGCTAATTAAACATTTGTAATGATAAAGTTGCAATTTAGTACTTTTAAAATATATTGACTTTAAATATAATATCAAATAACACTATAGTTAAAAATGATAATCAAGTACTTTACATGCGCTTTAGTATGTTAGTCAACACATCAAAATAAGTGTTCTTTAAAATATGACAAAATATTATAAAGCACAATGATTTCAAATGTACTTTAAAGTAAAACTTTTAATTTGACATTATTACAAAGGTCACTTTTTAAAAGTCTACTTAAGTGTGTTTAGAAACAGTCATGAAAGTGTCTCACTTTAAGTCACTTAAGTTGCCTTTTATTTCATTAATATTATATTATTTGCACATACATTTTTTTTTTAAATATACTTGTAAGATTTGAAGTACACTACAAGTGCACATTCAATATAATTAAGTGCACTTATTTTTCATGTACTTGACGATTCAGGTTATTTAAAGAGACAGTTCACCCAAAATTAGAATATCATTCCCTGGAATCATTCAGTCGATCATTGTTTGAGGTTAAAATAAAATAAAATAAAATAAATAAATAAGTAAGTAAATAAGTAAATTCATTCATTCATTCATTCATTCATTCATTCAAATTATTAATAAAATAAAAATGTATTAATTTTGTCGGAATTAAAAAAAAAAACTATGTAGTTGAATTTTAAATATGTGGTGCTGTGATGCCAGACAGATCAATATATTATATATATATATATAAAAAAAAAACACAGTTTCAGTGAATAATTGTTTGTGGAATTAAATTAAATTTAAATATTTAATTACATAGTTAATTAAATATTAGAATTTTAAAGTCATGGCACTATGATGCCAGACAGATCAAGAATGCATTCTGACTTATTTACACTCTTAAAGAGTTGGATTCTCATGATAAACATGGCCAAAGTTTGGACGTATGAGTATTTATCGCTACGCAAAAGCTGCTCTTTAGCTCCGCCCACGACACGCCTCCAGGAGCGCGACTGTTTTCAGAGAGAAGCTTTATCTGTCTTTTATTAATCTGATAAAACTAAAGACTCTTCAGAGATATGAAGGATGCAATACTACTCTATAGGTACTCAAGATTAACACGAGATTTGGCAGAAACTCTATGCGTTCTGTCCCCTTTAAAGGCTAAAAATGTCACAGCAGATAAAAGACAACATCTGCTTTGTAGAAATAGACTATAAAGACAGTGAGATTAAGACATGGTTTCTTCCTCATTTGACGTGTTTCTCTGTATGTCTTTCAGGTTTTTGTGAGTTTCGCGCAGCAGCAGCGTGATGAAGAGGACGGAGCGTTTGAGAACGACGTGGATCTGAATGATGAAATACAAACATCAGCGACATGAATCAAACACCAATCAGCAGAAACCAGGCACTTTACTAGAGTTATTTTATTTATTCGACATCTAAATCTCCATGTAGGCCACCAAGATTTGAAGATGTAAAACGTCCAACCAAGAACAGAGAGAAAACCTTCAGGACAACTCAGGGATCGTTTTTATACAAAGTTTTTATCAGTGAAATATCTGTCAAATTTGCACTGTGCAACATTATATGTTTTTAATGTCTTATTTCTGTACACATTGTATTTTTTGCCAAATGCAAAGTGATTATAAATTTAAATTTGCATTGTGTATTGTAACAAAAACTGAAGGACTAATTCACACTTTATTTTTGGGAGATTTGGGGTTTATTTTTGACTTTCTATCAAAGAACAGAAAGACATTTCAGCTTTATTGTCAGTTTATTTTCTAGTTGTCACTTGAACTTATTGAAGGACCACATGCATTGATTTTTGCTTATGAATCTCAGGACTAAAATGTCATGCACTTTAGAGCAGCGTTTCCCAACATGTACTGTCTTACATACCTGTACTACAACGTCAATAAGGCTGAGGTATAACCTAATGTGGTAACACTTTATAATAACTTTCACTTATAAATCATTCACAAACATTATGTAATGCATAACAGATCAGTAGTTAATATATATATATATATTCACATAGCTAGAAACATGAGATTATGTTCTTGTTAATGTTTCCTAATGAACTTACTAAACATTACCTAACGATTAACATATGATTATTTAATGTAAATTGAAATGCTTACAAATGTCAGTAAACTTTCAGTTCATATGATCATCATTTGTTGGTCTTTGTTTGTTGTCTAGACCTCTATTTACACATCTTAGCGAATAATCTATTAATTATGTGTTGTTAATTATGTTTTTGCAGTACCCAATCTAAAGTGGAAACTATTCATCATTTGTAAATATTTACTAATCATTACTATCTTTATGAGCAGTCATCTCAAGGGCAAAAAAGTGTCCCGAAAGACCTGAATTTACTCTATTCACACATCTTTACTAATCATTTATTAATCATCTGTTAATGTTTTTGTAGAAGCCAATCTAAAGTTGAAACTATTCATCATTTGTAAATGTTTATAAACGATTACTAATCATTTAGTATCTTTATGGGCATTGGACGTTCAGCTAATGTAACAAGGTTTGTGTAAATGGTGGCTGGTTAAGTTTAGCGAAATGCTTGCTAAAGACATAAAAGATTGTAATTTTGGTGCAAAAAAAATGCTTTTATTGCCTCAACACTCACATTAATATACTACTCCCCAGTATATCATTAAACAGGATAGCTATTCCTTTAATCATAAATAAACAGGAGAAAACAAATCATGGTTTAAAAGAAAAATACTTGTTCATTTATCAAAACAATATAATATAAACAGATTGAACGGTGTTCCATTATAGTAATCAAAATGAGCCCAGTACACTATTGAGCCCCTAACCTAACCCTAGCCCTCTAACCCTAACCCTTTAACCAACCCATAAACCTACCCATACTACCAAACCTGTCCCTAAACTTACCCGTATCACACCTCAATAGCAGCAGAAGTTCTGTGCATCAACACAAACTTTTAATCATTTTATAACATCTGTTAAAATCATTTGTACATTTTCAATAAGTGCTTGATCATATGGAATTGAACGTTTAATGACATTTGTAAGCATTTTAACTTACATGAAATAATGATTTGTTAAACATTATCTAATGTTTAATGAGTTTATTAGCAAACATTAACGAGCACATTATCTCACGTTTCTAACTCTTTGGATATATATATACTGATCCATTAAGTGTTATATAATGTGTGTTAATGATTTATTAATGAAAGTTATTAAAAATTGTCACCATAGGTTAAACAAGCAAAATCAAAATCTATTTTGTCTTTAAGTGCACATGTACCTGTGGTTGGGAATCACTGCTTTATGTCTGTAGGAAACACACTCCTGTATGAATGAAATAAAGATGATCTATGCAATGAGAACATTTTTACCTCAGCACTTTTGTGCTCTTAATCCTGCCGTGTCTTCTGCATTCGTATGCACTCCCATGATCCTGTGCGTCTGCCGCTCGGATGTTTGTTCTGCTTATTGCTTTATGCACAGACACACATTAAACATTTGCACACTCTGCCGAGCCTCGGCTTTCATTTCGCAGATTCATCCTTTCCTGCTGCAGACACTCACTTCGGCTCGTTTTCTCTTTCTTTTTCCAGTCATGATCTTTAAGTAACTGATTTTCTTTTACAACTTCCTACAAGAAGCCGCACTTTTGCAGCTGGGTCATTCTTGTAATGCATTAACTTTTTCCTCTGTAGCATATGCTTGTAAATGTGTTTGAAGTGAGTCTTAAGAACTCGAAGAAGAGGCTTTTGTGAAGCCACTCACACAGGCCTGTAATTGCACAAAGAATGGTTGTAGCCCCTATAAGCTGATATTTGGACGCCGGCCGAGGCCGCATTTAACTTCACCTTTAGTGAGAACAAATTCCAGAGTCACTCTCAGTTTGTGAGAGCGTTCAAGTCCCAACTTGAAGAGTCCTGTGGCACTGCCAGCGAAACTTGGGATTTTGCGAGAAAATGCAAAAGTGTTGATGGGAATAATATGAGATGACAGGATAAAAAAACTATTTTATACTTTTGTAGGTAAAAATTTTCTCGGGAGATTTCAGTACTTTTTACGAGCAAATGCAAAGCATTAAAACTTTACATTTGCTCACAAAAGTTTTGCATTTCCCTGAGAAACGTTACGCTTGCTAGAAAAAGATTAGCGTTTCCCCAACAAATTTTGCATTTGTACAGAAGATTTCCATTCCTCCACAAGAAAATTTGTGTTTTGGCTTGTTAGTTAAAAAGTTTTGCATACCCACAAGAAACGTTGCATTTGCACAAATAAAGTTTTGCGTTTCCCAACAAGAAACTTTGTGCTTGCATTTAACATTTTTTGCTTTGTTCCAAAAATACTTTGCATTTGCATGCGAAAATGTTAGTTTTTTTGCTTGAAAGATTTTGAAAAATATCCCTAAGAAACTGCATTTGCTTGCAAAATGTTTGCATCTCCTGAAGAAACTTTGCATTTGCTGGCAAAAGTTTTGCATTTACCCAAGAAACTGCATCTGCACACTAATGTTTTGCATTCCCCCACAAGAAACTTTGTTTGCATGCAAATATTTTTTTCTACTGAGAAACGTTTTGCGTTCTGCCACAATAAACTTTGTGCTTACATGCAATAATTGTTCCCTCAAATAACTGTGTACATTTAAAAATGTTGCATTTGCATGCAAAAAATGATGCAAAAGCTTTGCATTTCCTCAAGAAACACTTTGCTTTTCCATTAAATGTCCACACGGCAATGAGAAACAGTCCACACACGAGCTGCAGGCCTGTTGTCAAGTTCATTATCATTTTTAACCTTAAATTACATCCTCTTTGCAAAGCTGCATTAAACTCGTTGTCATTGCCACAGACTCTTGTCTTTCTCTCTGGCCTTTTAGAGCGTCATTGTATTATGAAAAATGAAAACACTACAAATGAATTTGAACTGACTTTATCATTTGTGATTCTACACTGGGAAGATCATCATTCTTGGAGCATTTTCAACAGTTAGGATTGTTATGTTGTATCAGAGAAAATTACACAGCACTAATGTTGACTGTCCTGGCAATAGTGCTTTTTTTCTTGGCAATGCATACTGTAGGCAGTGATTCACTGACTGAACTCAAATACTGAACCATCCCTGTGAGGAACATGATTGGTTGTTATGGCAACTGTTAAGTCACATTGATATTGAGCCAGTAATAACATTATGAATGAGGCAAACTATTTTGGCCATCAAACACACACACACACACACACACATAGACTCCCTTTCCTTGGAACTGATTAATACACCACTCATTGAACTGGTAAAAGACACCAAAGGACAACAATTTAGATGTTAAACTGAAGCTAAACAATGCAAAATCACCTACTCAGTGCTGTAAATCACTTTTGTTTAAATGATTTCCCAAGGACCCCATCAGTGCAATTAATGGTTAAGAAACATCATTTTAATTACGTGATCTATTATTCATCAGGACTTTGTTTTTTATTAAATATTAAAGTGCATTGCACTGGAATCTCTCTGTGTCAGTTAGAACACTTTGTCACTTTTTCATTGTCTGCAAAGTAATTTTACCACAAAGTGAATCTAATGCACTGAGATACAAGAGAATCAGGAAACAAACTAGCATCCCACTGACCCTCGTTCTCACAAAAACACACACTCTCAGGGCATCATACCTGGCGCCCAACGTAGGGTCAGGACTTGCCCAGCAGAAAGAAGCTGATTACAGCCTGTCGCTGTCAGTTAGAACACTTTGTCACTTTTTCATTGTCTGCAAAGTCAGTTTAAATATGTTTGTAATTTTACCACAAAGTGAATCTAATGCACTGAGATACAAGAGAATCAGGAAGCAAACTAGAATCCCACTGACCCTCGTTCTCACAAAAACACACACTCTCAGGGCATCATACCTGGCGCCCAACGTAGGGTCAGGACTTGCCCAGCAGAAAGAAGCTGATTACAGCCTGTCGCTCTCATTTGCTTTCTATCTCTTTATCTTCGCTCAGTTTCACTACACACGACTCGTGGCACACTTCACACTGGTGTTCAAACTGAATCACTGGTTTGGGGGAGCAGCAGGTTTTTCTGAGCAGCAGGGGTCGATCTGGCTGTATTGAGGCTGTCCGCGGGTGTTTGGTGGACACATATTTATACCAGCTGGCACAAAACTTATGCAATGTTCACTCTGTTATCTCTGAACATCTCAGTTAAATGTCAGTTCCTTCGACTTCACCTGTTACTATATTTGGCTAATATGCAGATTTTAAATGTCCTAAATATACTTTTAAAAAAGAGCTCTTATGAAAAATAATAGACTTTTAAAAAATATACTTAAGTGCAAACTGAATAATAATGTTTTCAGACACTTGATTGCATGTTAATTGCAATTAAATTCAAATGCATTATAGTTTAAAATTGAATGTATACCAAATGCAGTCAGTTTAATTTTGGCATGCTTTTTTGACCTATTTAAGTGGGACTTACGTGCTTCTTTATTTGTAATTTCATAATCACTTCTGTTGACTTTGAAATATGGTTAAAGTGCACTTATAAGCATTTATGATAAACTAAAATATACTTTGCCATTTCTATTGAAACTTGTATGTCATGTATTTAAATATATTTGTAATTACACATTTGTAAATATGACATTGCAATTCAGTACATTGAAATATATTAACTTCAAATGTAATATTGAAAAACAAACTACAGTCCAAATGATAATTAAGTACTTTACATGTGCTTTTGCATGTTAGTCAACAGATTAAAATAAGTGTACTTCAAAGCACAACAAAAGGTTATTAAAATGTAATGATTTAAAAAAATGTACTTTAAAGACTTTTAATTTGACATTACAAAGTGTAATTAAGAAATGCAATTTTTTTTATTAATTTTTTACTTGTC